AAATGATGTATTATTTCATCAACTGTCTTTAATTTTAGATTTTGTATTATATAATTTACTCTGTTTGATTTGAAATGACATTGTATTAGTTCTCTTTCCTTAGCTTTTGTTTGTCCTCTGTGCAGTGAAGCACTTTGGCTGTTTTGGAAGGTGCTATAAAGCTATTACCATTATTATGTATATCACATGTACAATACTTTGAAACTAAACAGACCTTTATATACAAGAGACATTTTGACTTATGACATCATTAAAGCAGGGATAATTCCATTGAAATAAATGATGGATTTGTTCTATTCAAATGTCCCAGTAAACAGTGACAGTGAACCAGCAAACCAGGGCCCTGAAACTGAATCCAAATGTTTAATATTTAGCTGCTTTAGACATCATTAATTTAATAATTACTTAAGACACAATGATGCATTGAATATTAACAACTGCCTCAACACCCACTCTCACAAATGGTATACTTATAATATCCAAAATGCTGAATGTGAGATTAGGTGTCCAACTAGCCAACAACATCAGTTTGTATGAATTCTTTGGGGAATGGAAGGTTATCTTTTGATAAAATGTTCTGAAAAAACCCCATAAGAAAACAATAATAACACAGTGGATGCAAAAGGTTATATTTCTGTTACACCCAAGCATCATCAGAGAAACTGATATATCAGTGTGTACTGTAGGGCTCAATAAGTACGCAATTGTTCGCAAGGGCCTACGCTGCCAGCCACTGTTGTGGACTGGACACAGCAGATGGCCGTTAAATGCACATTTGTCATGGCAGTAAGGGGAACTGCAACGTTGGTGGAGAATGAGACCATAAGTGTTGTTTCAGGTCATTTTCTGCTAAAGGACAATAAAGAAGCTGAAACCAAAGTCAGCAAACCAAATACTAAACAAACACTTGAAAATTCATTTTCATATTTTTTTGTATTTAATGTCCAAGAAACATTTTTCCATGACAGCAGAAATTTCCACAATCGCATGTGCATGCACCTGACTTGATTTGAATATTCAGTCAGATCATGTACCAGTCGTTACAACAGTAAAAAAATACCTCCCTTTACTTTGTTCCCTGCCATTAACAAGATCTGCACGGTGTGTTAAAACAAGTTTCTATTTCCCGCTCCCCAAAACCCCAAAAACCCCATCATCACACAAGCACGCCCCCACCCATCCTTTTCTCTGCACTGGTGTTGATAAACAGGCCTCCTCCACCCCTGTTTGCACAGGGGAAGTGCAAACAGCCACCACAGAGCCGGACTATTCCTGCTTATAGGTCTGAAGTGTCTGACTGCTGCTGCTGACACTGCTTTCCATGTTTCACAATGCACACGGTCATCACACAAACACACACACACACACACAGAGTAGAGCAGAGTGAGTGGCCAACATTATCACATGACCCCGACAAGCAAGAAACAGTGAGGGCTGTATACTGTCCATGTAAGCAATTATATATACTTGCTGTGAGGAGTAATTTCCATGTCTGTCTGAAGTACATTTGCAGCTTGTGACATATTGTTTTCATCATAATATTTGCACCGTAATAAGCATGAAGTGTCTCCACGAGCCACAATATAACAGTGAGGTGTTTTAAATAGAAATGAGGAAGACAACATGAAGGAGGCTGAACAACAGCTCAGTTTAACAAAAGCATGGAAGCCTTCAGTGTGTCTCTGAATCCTTATTCCCTCATCACACACACACACCACACCACAACACACACACACACCACACCACAACACACACACACGGCACAGCAGCACAGCCTGGCATTCCCACAGAGGACATATGCAAGTGTCCGGTGTACAGTCCTACTCACAAATCTCTTTAGTTTCTTCTCTGGGGGGGATTTAATGAGCCAGCCAGTGCAGACCACATCCCCAGCACTCATCTTGACAGCAGAGCGTCTCGTCCTCACGACGGCTGCTGCTGCTGCTGCTGCTGCTGCTGCTGCGAAACTGAGAGCACTGCGAAGCGTATCCTGTGTTCTGCTCTGCCCAGCCACTCCAAAAGGAGGAAGTCAAGAAATTGATCACACTGACAGAGAGAGAGAGAGAGAGAGAGAGAGAGAGAAAGAGAGAGATAGAGAGAGAGAGGAAGAGGAAGAGGAAGAGAGAGAGAGAGAGAGAGAAGGGGAGGGAGACAGAGACAGAATTAAGTGTTTATTTTCCCAAAGAGCTCAGGGGCAAGCAGATGGAGCTGTTGGTCTGTGGGCTAGAAAAAACACATAACAAGGTTTGACAGGTTTGAGGACTCAGTTGTATTGACCTATATGCATATGTGCACATAGACCGCAGGCTGTGATGTAAATCTGTATCATTGAGGTAAGATGCAGAGATCTCTCCTCTGTAAGTTTTATTCTGAAGTATTTGCATATGGATACTTCTATCTCCACAGCAAAGAGCAACAACCTCTCTTTGTGCGTGATTCTTATACACATAAGTGAGCGTGTAAGGGAGGGGCTGTCATGAATTACAGCCAAGAAATTGTCTTTGGCTGGAACCTGTTCCTGGGAGCCGCTGAGCCTCGGCCACAGGTGTCTGTTATCTCAGGGACAAAGACGCCTGTGAAACAATACAAGGAAGAAATTACCATCAAGGAATTTCAAAGTACACGCACAAAGTCATATGTTGTTAGAACATCTTCTCTTGCGGTTAATGTAAAATTCACTACAAGTGATACTTCCCCTTTCTGTTGTAGTGTTGTTTATCTATTTACCTTGTAGTAAGGTATGTGAAAGAAAGAAGAAGTGGTTTTATCTGTGGAAATTAGTTTCTCTTACGGTTTCAGTAACTCAGGATTCATTTTTGGGGAACTCAAATCCATCCCTTTCTCAGTGGATCAATACATGAAGCTCATTATGAGCCATGCTAATTCTATATCTTTCTATGTGCTGTTTTAACATGTGTGCATAAAGGCCCATCTAGTGGTAGACATTGCAATGATATCTGTGACTGTTAATGCAATATATATGTGGATTAGTGCCAAATGCTCTAACTTCAACATCATTATCAGTCCCCTCAATCAACTATAAGGGAACACACACAATAGAAATACACTACAAAACAGCAACAAAGTCACACAATGTCTGACATCAACCTATTGTTTTGAGAGAAGAGAACTTATAACTTCCTCTTGACCATTGAAGCAGCGGCATTCCACAAATCATTTACATTTCTCAGATGGCATTTCTGCATTACATTAATAACACACTCAAATTAAAATACAAATCATGGATGAAGGTAATGTGAAAAACCCAGGCCACTGGAATATTTTTCTTAACGTATAGCATTCCAAATTCAATTCGATTTTATTTGTATAGCGCCAAATCATAATATACATGATCTCAAAGCACTTTACATAGAAGGTCAAGATCTTAAAATCGTATTAATATAGAAAAACCCAACAATTCCCACAATGAGCAGCACTTTGGCGACTGTGGAGAGAAAAAAAGAGAGTACAGAGAAGTGGAAGTGCTCTGTGGATGATGGGAGTTTCCCCAGCAGTCTAGACCTATAGCAGCATAACTAGGGGGTGGTTCAGGACTCACCTGATCCAGAACTAACTATAGGGTTTATCAAAAAGGAACGTTTTAAGTTTTTTAACTTTAAATGCCGAGATGGTTTCTGCCTCCTGAACCCAGAGTGGGAGCTGGTTCCACAGGAGAGGAGCCTGGTAGCTGAAGGTTCTACCTCCTGTTCTCCTCTTACAGACTCTAGAACCCAGAGTGGGAGCTGGTTCCACAGGAGAGGAGCCTGGTAGCTGAATGCTCTACCTCTTGTTCTACTCTTACTGACTCTTGGAACCACAAGAGAGCCTGTGTTTTGGGAACGAAGTGATCTATTTGGATAGAACCGTCTTATGAGTTCTTTGATATATAAAGGGGCTTGATTGTTAAGGGCTTTATATGTGAGGAGCAGGTTCTTGAATTATATTCTGAATTTTACAGGGAGCCAATATAGAGAAGCTAAAACAGGAGTGATATAATCTCTCCTTCTAGTTCCTGTCAGCACTTGTGCTGCAGCATTTTGGACCAACTGGAGAGTTTTTACAGTCTTCCTGTGACATCCTGATAATAAAGAGTTACAGTAATCTAGTCTAGAGGTAACAAATGCGTGGACTAGTTTCTCAGCATCCTTCTCAGACAGGATGTTTCTAATTTTCTTAATATTGCGCAGGTGGAAGAAAGCTGTCCTAGAGACTTGTTTTATGTGTTTTGGTCAAATGACATGTCCTGGTCGAACATAACTGCAAGGTTCCTCACAGTGGAGCTGGAGGCCAAACTGACACCAACCAAGGTGACAATCTGTTCAGACAGTGATTCTCTGACATGCCAATTACAGCGACCTCAGTTTTTGTCTGAATTTAGAAGTAAGAAGTTTCCGGTCATCCAGGCCTCGATGTTCTTGAGACATTCCTGAAGTTGAACTAAGTGATTCGATTCATCATGCTTCATAGATATGTACAGCTGGGTGTCGTCTGTGTAACAGTGGAAGTTAACATTCCCTGTCTATGATTATATTTTCATGTGATTAGTCTGAATGATTCCTGTCATTAAAATGTTCTATTGCTGTGTTTCATGCCTAAAAACCTTCTTTTGACCGGGTTGCAGTGGTTGCAGTGCAGGTCAAACAAACAGCAGGGGGCAGCAGCACGCCCTGGCTACGTGTACATCTACAGAAATATGGGGAAGAAGAAACGGGTTCGCGACAGTCTCCAAAGAGCTTAGAAGGAAAAGAGCCGGAAACAGCCTCCACTCCATGTTACACGGAATCAAACAGAGATTAAATGTCATGTTACATGTCTGTGATCAGAACTGTGCAGCGGATGTCCACAGTAACACAATTACAACCAAACTCTGTCCAGTCACATCAGACTTTACATTACGAGTGTCCACTAAGGTCGTTGAACACCAAGAGCGTCAGAGGGCCGCCGCCATCTTTTTAAGAAGGCGTTACCCCTCTTTGGTTTTCCTGCGGTGACTACTCTCGCGTGTTTAAATGCTCTGCAGCATTACCCAGGACTCCCTGCAGACGTATGACCTGTCTCTGGCCTTGACGTTCCGCGCGCCACAGCTGCTGCTAGTCTCCGGGAGCGTGTGTCCGCAGGTAGCGTGAACCAGCCCGTGGTCCAGTCCCACCTCCGTCCTCCTGACCCCGGGAACAGACACCGCGGAGCCACGATGCTGACATGTAGGAGCGTGTGGAAGAAGCTCACACCGTTAGCTCGAGCCTCTTCAACTCTGTGCCGGCTCAATGTGAGGCGAGCAGGTCAGTCACTCTCCACAACAACTTCAGAGTTCGATCCAGACACGCTGCATGTAACAGGGGCGATGGTTTGTTAGAAGCCACGCTAGGTAATGACCAACATCTCGGCTAAAGGACCCTGACCACAGTTCACCTGTTACTAAGATAACTTAGCTACACTTGTGCAGAACTAGCTAACTTTGATCAAACTGCACCTCACTTGCTCTAGCTGTGACCTACAGTCTCCCAGGAAGCAGCATCAATGAATAATAATAATAATAATAATAAAACTCAAGTCATTCTCAAGTTCAGACATGGCTGTGGTTTGTACCTGAACCCGTTGGGTGTTAAATCAATCTGGATCCAATCACAGGGCAATAATCAATAATTATATCAACGTAATTGTCATCAAAATAACTACAGAGCTACACGCTGCAGGCATTATTCTGTTGTCTCTATGTTTTGTGAATAATAAATGTCATCAGTGACAAAAGTTTATTATATATGTATGTATGTATGTAAGCACAGAGAGGAGGTTTGTAAAATGTTTTGCTGTCAAATGTTTGTCATTGTCTGTTCATGAGTTTAAAACAACCTTCACTCATGAGCAAAAATATTCATACTTTTGTGACATTAATTGTTTCAATTGACATTGACTGATATCGTTTATAAAAATATGAACATCATTTTTTGGGGCCAGCCCACCCCCCGTCAGATTCCACAATGCTTATATGGATCACGGGGGTTGTTTCTTTCAGACCGTTAGTTACATGTCTGGAGGTGTCTGGAATGTACAGTGATGAAGACAAGTAGCTCATGGGGGGGTCGATCATAACGAAGATTCAACCCTCTGAAGCCTAATTATCAGTGTGGGCTTTCCTTAATCAACCCAACTAACAAGCACAGGAATTCTTGTGTCGCCTGGTGAATGTCAAGTCAATGCACAAGTTGAAATGTAGACATGTGACGTTTCATGGAACAGCAGCTAAATAAGCTTGATTGATCAGTGAATATATACCTCAGTATTAGTCAGCATGATCATAAACAAAGCATCTTCAGTCATGGTAAATGTACTTGTGCTTTTCTAAATCACTTAACATGTTCTTCACATGTGTGTTCTGTCTCTCTAGGTTACCTTTGTGAGCACTGAAATGAAATCCGTTCTATCCGGTTATGGTTTTTGTGATGTTAACTGTTTTCCAGGGTTAAACAATGGCGGACCAGTACGCGTACCAGCAGCTAACATGTCCACCGGTCCTTCGGGGGGAGGAAGGGAAAAACAGCTGTACGTGGTCCTAGTTGGAGCAGCCGCCCTTGCTGGGGGAGTATATGTGAGTTATGACATGAAGTATATGCATCAAAAATTCAAAGTCTATGTTTAAAATAAGAATGATGTCATTGGTGTTAGACCCATTGTTTATTTGGCAGATTTCATCCAGACGATCCTACCCTACCTAGTCACTCCTCAAAGCTGACAGTCACTGTAACGGTTTGGTTTTTACAGGCGTACAGAACTGTCAAAAGTGACCAACGTAGATATCAGGAACGTATCGATGACCTTTCATCCAGACCGCAGAAAGCAGCCGCACAACAAACAGCTGTACCCCTCAACGAGTCAGAGCCGTCTGGTGAGCAATTGTTCTTAATTGTTCTTAATTGATATTATTATTCCACTGTCATGTCATCAACCCTTTAATTTCTTTTTGTTGTTGTTTTTGTTTCAGCTACCGAAGCCACTGAAACAGCTGTGGAAGCCACTGAGACAGAGCGTGAGTTATTTCTGCAATTTCTAAGAATATGTTATCTTAATGTTTATATATCAAGCTCCACATCTGTTAATAACTTCATAGGTAGTAAGACTGAACTGTCATGAAAGTGCTTGTGCATTAGTTGCTTTAGCTTTCTGTTTTTAAATTGTAGTTAAATGTCATATGCAACAAGAATGGGCTCTGAATCTGCTGACTCTGCAGTGCACTGTTTAACTTCCTCTTTATTGCCACATAGAGAGCAATTTATGAGGACTCTGAACTTTATTTAATTTATTTTTATGATTAAATTGATTCTTTTATCAGTGTTTTGATTAATTATCTGAATATCACATAGCATGTTAAATAAGTCTACTCCACATCAATAACTGCATAGTTAATAATGGATATTTTCTTTCTCAGCCGTTGCTGAGCCAGAGCCTGAGGCAGCTCCTTCACCAGAGGAGCCAATCCCTCCGGCCCCTGAGGCTGAAGCAGCCGCTCCCGCTGAAACATCTGAAACTGTCCCAGGTAGTTTGCTCTCATTTCTTAACCCCTTAACGAATGAGTAAAACATGCCTCCTGTGTAAACTCTGTGTTTAATCTAAAACGCTGTAGAAAAATTCTGCATTTCAGTACACTTTGTTCTTTGGTGAGGAATCAATTGGAAATGGTGACACCAACTGTTTGGATGAGGTTGGTGCACAATAAGGAGGCTGTTAAACACACCTATTTGGTCACTTCTCTTTTTACACTGCCCATAATTATCCCACATCACCATAATATGGAATATGTTTTATGATGGCAGAGTTTATACATGAGGCTCTCTTGGACATTCATAACTTGTGTTGTATTTATTGTCTGTGTGAGAAGTTTCCGGCCTGAACTGACTTTTCCTTCTCGTTGCATGTGTTGTGTTATTTTTTTCCACCGTCTTCACTTCTCAACAATGCATGTGTCGTTCCTCTGTATATTTCACTGGATGTTATTTATTTCCTGTCCACTCACATTTTAAATTAACCCATTTACATTTTCAGTCTAAAATGTACACACTCACATATTAACTTTCACTCAGAATTGTAAATAATTGTTTTTGTGAGACGGTGCTTTGAGTTTTGTCAGTATTTTCTAAGAATATTGTTTGTTCCTTTTGTGTGTGTTGTTGTATTTGTTGTATTTCAAATGTGATCATCCTATCTGGCATTTTCTGTGAATGTGTCATACTTTGTGGATTTTTCCTGGGATCCTACTCAAAATATATTTTCTTACTATTAACTGAAATGTGATAATGTTGTACATAATTGGAAGCTGCCCTCTTACAGTGGACTACATTTTCTACCAAGTACATGTGAACAGTGTGGTATCACAAGCATTAGAAAAAACCGCAGTGACACTTTGATCAACATATTACTTCATAACTATGGTCTTAATTGTCTTTTTTACTGTCGTTGGCCGTGAATATGATAGTAGAGGATCAGTAGTGCTTCTGTCAACCTTACAACTCAGTTCTTACTGAGAAATTTGCAAAAAAAGGAAGAAACATCTACATCTGCTTTTCTTAAATACACGAAAACAGAATCCGTAATTAAGTGACACTTTTCTGAGCAACGGCGCCACTCGTGGTTTTATCTATTCTTTGATTTATTCTGTTGGCCTCTGTTTTAGAGCAACTTAGTGTTTCATGTAGCCAACAAACATTCTTAGTTTTGGACAGGGGCTCTGACTGTGTGGTACCATTGAAACACAATCGTACGGTGGAGCCCCATGATTTTTTAGAATTCTTGATATTTTTTTTAAGTTTCCTCACTTAATATTGAAAACAGAAAATTGCTGTTTTTAATGATTTTCACACTTCATTACTCTTGAACTTGCTGGGCCAAGGCTGTGACTATCAGTCGTTTAAACATTTTTCACAGGAGATGGTACCCATTCATCAAAATAGTGCAAGACCAAATGTACAGGGTCAGGTGGGGAAATGAAAGAGGCACCGTTATCCACATTACAAATCAGTAATCTCATTTTGAAGCTGCTACTTTTAGTGAAGGAAAGTTGCATAGTTTTGCAATGTAAGAAGCTTTTAACCAAAAAGTCTTTGGTATAATGTGGTATGTTGTATGTAGAAGGTAACTGGGCAGCTTCCCGTTATTTGACTGTGATAGCGTGCATGCTCTGCACATGACTCCTGGGGTAAAGCTGAGGAAATTCATGCATCCTGATGGTCCTCCACTTAATAATCTCTAAAGAATTTAGTCTTAACTCGTAATATGGATTACCTCAACAGCAGATGAGCCTGTGGTAGAAGCAGCACCCCCAGAAGAAGCAGCAGAGTCTTCTGCTGCACCTGTAGTCGAGGAGGGTAAGATATGAGAAGACGGGATATTCTGATCCACAGCTCAGTTAAAAATGGATTTTATGTATTAGCTGTGGTACACATTAGATGTTGTTGTTTAACTTTTACCGCTTTACTGCCAGAACCAGCACCCCCACCTGAGCCATCCCCAGTTGAGCTAACAGAGCCACCTCCTGCACCTGTAGTGGAGGAGGGTAAGATATGAGAAGACAGGATATTATGATCTACAGCTCAGTTAAATAAGGATTTTACATATTAGATGTAGTGCAGATTAAGTTATTATATAACCTTTACCACTATACTGCCAGAACCAGCACCTGAGCCGTCCCCAGTTGAGGTAACAGAGCCATCTCCCGCACCTGTAGTTGAGGAGGGTAAGATTTGAGCTGACATTCTGATCTACAGCTCAGTTAAATACAATATTACATTATTAGCTGTAGTGCACATTTTAGGTTATTTTGTAACTTTTGCCACTACACTGCCAGAACCAACACCCCCACCCGAGCCGTCCCCAGTTGAGCTAACAGAGCCACTTCCTGCACCCGTTTTGGAGAGTGGTAAGCAGACCAGTGCATGGAGCCAGTGAATTACATTTACCACATCTGTGTGTTTTACTTGGATTTAACCACTTAATCATCCGGATACACTAACAGAACCTACAGCAGCAGCAGATACAGCAGAGCCGCCTGCAGCAGAGCCAGCCGAGCCTCAGCCTGAAGTTGTGGCAGAGAGTGGTAAGACAACAGTCCAGCTTCGGTTGGAGCAGGGGAGCGTGCAGACACCGATTCTTTCCCCCATACCGATAATGTTAATGTTAATTTCAAACACCTTTTCTCCCTTTTTTATATTTTAACGTTTCTTTTTCGTTACAGCTTCTCTCCCTGCCTGTTCATGAATCCTTCACATTGTTTGGCTTCTTGTAATGATAATGGTTAAATTTACTCACATACTTCTTTTGTTTACCAGGTGCATTTACTCCTCAAAGGTTCTGTGTAATTCATAGTTACTGATGAACTGTCTGTCTCCTGCTTTTGCTTATTGCCTGTTTCTCTCTCCTGCTCGCTCTTTTGCTGTCACTCTAAGTTCAAACTCCAGCAGTGGATGCCACACCTGCCTCTTCCAAGGTGCCCTCACACGCCCCCTACCTCCTTATCGGTGGGGGTACTGCCTCTTTCGCTGCTGCCCGGTCTATTCGAGCCAGAGACCCCGGTGCCAGGGTCAGTCGTACCTCTGATTTCACCATAAAAATCCAAACTTGGAATTTAGTTCATTGCCCCAGTCTCAGTCAATAACATTAACTTCTATGGGCTTTTTTTTGCTTCCAGGTACTAATTGTGACTGAGGAATCAGAGCTTCCATACATGAGACCACCTCTTTCTAAAGAACTGTGGTTCTCTGATGACTCCAGTGTGACAGAAACTCTGCGTTTCAAACAGTGGAATGGAAAAGAAAGAAGGTGTGTTTCAGTTTCCTCTGGTATTTAAAAAAAAAAAAAAATAAAATAATTTTGAACTTCTTTTAACCAACCCATAAAAAACAGTTGTAAGTGTTAACTCCAGCCCTCCAGAAAATACCTAATGGTCACAATGGGCACAATGTCTTAATACCAAGTGAAACTGCTTTATACGAATATTTCTTAATACTCTTGGCTGGTTTATTTGACATCTTGTTGAATTCAAAAATTTAATGGGTGTGTTTGATTTTACTAAGAAAACGGTTCAATCATTAAAATATTTTTGTTTTTATTTGCCAGTATCTACTTCCAGCCGCCATCATTCTACATTCAAATAGAAGAATTGGCAAGTGCAGAAAATGGTGGTGTGGCTGTTCTCTCTGGCAGAAAGGTTGGTTTATATTTCTCTTTCAACCATCACACACTACAGTGTACTAATAATAGTGGTTGTTAGTAGTTAGATAAACACTTCTTTTGCAGATCTAATTTCCCTCTTTTAAATTGTCATGACTCAGATTTTAAATATATGCTTTAATCTGTTTTAGGTGGTTCACATGGATGTGAGAGGAAACAAAGTTAAACTGGACGATGACACTGAGATTTCCTACAACAAATGTTTGATTGCTACAGGCGAGTCACTATAAATGCATTTGTTACCGCATGTGTCTAATCTTCATGGAAACTAAAGTGAACTTTGCTCTTCAGGCGGTGTGCCAAGAAATCTACAGGCCCTTGAGAGAGCAGGAGAGGAAGTGATGAAGAGGACGACTCTGTTCCGCAAGGTCAGTGTTTAGCCACAAGGGGGTGTTAGCTTTGTTTCAGGTTAAGAATTTCTGGCTGATGGGACAAAGTAGAAAAGTCTTATAAATGTGGGAGTAGTGGTTAAGGTATGACGTGACGGAAATATTATGAAATAATTACATTTTGTTCTCCTCCACAGATTGATGACTTCAAATCCTTGGACAAGGTCTCCAGAGACGTCAAGTCCATCACAATCATCGGAGGCGGCTTCTTGGGCAGCGAGCTGGCCTGTGCCCTCGGCAGGAAATGTAAGACTCCTTGACGAGAAGAGAACAGAACAGATGATGTTTAACAGAAGTTAGTTGTTGCTCTGTTGTTGGATCATTCATTCTCTCTTTCCAGCATCAGAGTCTGGTCTGGAGGTGTTGCAGATGTTCCCTGAGAAGGGCAACATGGGAAAGGTTCTGCCTGAGTATCTGAGCAATTGGACAACTGAAAAAGTCAAGAAAGGTCAATGTCCATTTTACTTCATAGCTTATGTGAACATTTTATTTAACTGGCAGGATGGCCAAAGAAAAGAGACAGCTTGCCTTTGTTTTAACCTTTCTTCTTTTTTTACAAATAAATAATATTAATCTCCCTTTGGTTTTCTAGAGGGCGTTAAAGTCATCTCAGAAGCTTTGGTGAAGTCTGTGACTCTCAAAGATGATAAATTAGAAATCAAGCTGAAGGATGGCCGATTGGTGGGTTCAGATTTCTGCACAAGAGCAACGTATCTCAGGGAAAATTGGTTACTTATTTTTTTTTGGCCTTGTCCTCGTAGGTGAAAACTGATCACATTGTTGCAGCTGTTGGCCTGGAGCCCAATGTTGACCTGGCTAAGTCAGCAGGTCTGGAGGTAGACTCTGACTTTGGAGGCTTTCGGGTCAATGCAGAGCTGCAAGCAAGGTCCAATATTTGGGTGGTAAGTTAAAGTTCATAAGGTAATTGAGGTACTTGGTCAAGATCAAGAAGAATTGAAGGAAAATATTAAAAAAAATTCAGATCATCCTTCCACCAGTGGCAGTTATGACGAGTGCTACATTACATGTACCATCTCCATTATTAACTGACTGGTTTTAGTCGATTTATGTATACATGTAGTTAAAACAGTCACTAGTTGTTTTAGCAATTTTGCTGTTCATGTTGAACATTTATTTGCAAAGCTTATGGTTAACATTTGTGAATTAACTGTCATGGAATCAATAGTAATATGACTCGCCCTAGTTTTTCTAATTGGTCAGAAGAAAAGATTTTTAAGGTTTTACTGAGCAGATCCAGGTGAGCTGCTGATAATTGTAGGACATGGAGAGCTGGATATAGTGCCCTCTTCAGGCAAATTCAAGTCATGTTTACAACTTAATACACCCCTAGACATGTAGTATATTTATTTCTCTTCTTTTGAGTCTAGTTTTCTGTAACTTTCAATCTTTTTATTTTAATTCTAATCATAGCAACACCTCCTAAATCCCTTGTATCTCATCCCAGGCAGGAGATGCTGCATGTTTCTACGACATCAGACTGGGCCGCAGACGAGTGGAACACCACGATCACGCTGTTGTGAGCGGTCGACTGGCAGGAGAGAACATGACAGGAGCCAACAAACCCTATTGGCATCAGTCTATGTTCTGGTGGGTATCACACTTCTTCTGTTTCCCTTAGTCACACATTTAAAACTCTGCGGCTGCAAACCATGAAACCAGCCTGAATTGTGAATAAAGGAAGATATTTTTGTGAGCAAGAGCCAGTTTGAATTGTTAATGACATTAGGTCCAGATTCATAGGATACATTTAAATAAGTAGGCACTGGAGCGGCATGTACAATCCTGTAAATGACTCAGATTCGGTCTTTCGTGAACATGCTTGATCACTCCGAAAAATCCTGAAATATTTAAAACGCTTTTAGAGGACATTTAGAGGAGTTGCCAGCAGAGGGCTGCATTACTCAGTCAGGCATTTTTCAAGCTTACTGCACATGTACTAACTCTGTCAAAAAAACTACTGACATAATCACATGGGGAGTTGAAGGAGTTTGCCAAAAACTGTAGTACAGTGTGGACTATGGCCCTCGCTACAAAGACTGCTGCTCCGACTGCATGTTTTTGGCAGCTGGTGAAATGTGAGACACTGCTGCGTAAAACATGGGGTCATTGCAGTGCAAAAAAGAACCCACACACACACACACACACACACACACACACAGGGACACACACTCAGGGACACACACTCAGGGACATTAGTCAAACTATCATGATTTACACACCAGCAGATGTAGGATCAGGATTCAGCTGACACCTGCAGCTGAATCCTGTGTGATGTACACAAACACACTTTTAAAATCTATTGGAGAATCAACTTGAGTATAACTAGTTAGCAGAATGCCCCTTTTAAAATGAATGGGTATACATAGGTTGTTTTAAAGGATTTTACCTTTCTGTTTTTGCCCTGTGAGTCATGTTCGATGTCGCCAACATGCTGGGAACCGAGAAGCTCTGTCACCCCACTTTTTAACCAGGCTTACGTTTTTTTACATGTATGAATAAAAAAAATCACTATAAGACGTTGTCCCTAAGATGTAAAAAACAGTAAGTACATTAACGTTTATGGATATTTACGCCAGGAAGTTCAATGCACGTTGCAGACAAAGTGCAGCATCAGCATCTATACTGCCAAAATGAAGCAGAAGAGGAAATTGTGTCATCAGTGCCAATCAGAGCTAGAACAGATAAAAACCTGTGTGGACTGCATTTAACCCGGGAGTGCATGCTGACAAAAGCCAGATGTTAGTGGATGCTAAGAATTGAAATATATGTTTTTCTCCAGTTTCATTAAGCTTTGAAATGAAAAATAAGAGACAATACTTACTCACAGTGAGAGCTTCAAATCACATTCTCTCAACATGTTTTCCATCCTCGTGTGTTTTCTCACAGGAGTGACCTGGGGCCTGATGTTGGTTATGAAGCCATTGGGATCGTTGATAGCAGCCTGCCAACAGTAGGAGTGTTTGCCAAAGCCACTGCCAAGGACACACCTAAAGCTGCTACAGAGAAGTCCGGTAGGAACCGTCACTATCTTTTTAGTCCTAATCCTATGAAGCAAAAACAAACAGAGCGAATTTTAGGACAAAGGGTCAGATTAAGCTTTTCTCATTAAATGTGCTGCAGGAACTGGGATCCGCTCTGAAAGTGAAACAGAGGACACAGCCGTTAGCCCAGTGGCCTCTTCAACCCCTTCTCCGGCTGTGGAGCAGAATAGAGACAACTATGGAAAAGGAGTCATTTTCTACTTGCGAGACAAGGTGGTGGTGGGCATCATCCTGTGGAATGTGTTCAACAGAATGCCCGTTGCAAGAAAGGTACACACTGTTCAGTTTTTAATAAAAAATACTTCTTCATGTTGTAGATTAAGTGGATTAATAATTTTTTAAAATGTCTTTTTGTATGTTATTTGTAGATTATAAAGGATGGAGAGGAGCATGCCGATCTAAACGAAGTGGCAAAGCTGTTCAACATCCATGAGGATTAAGATGGTCTGGGCTGATGCTCGAAATGGGAACTTTGGCATCCATTGCCACACTGTTTATGAGACAACTGACCATGCATACAAATCGAGACATTCAACATCATGTCTCTGAAATATTTTCACATTTGAAATTTGTATGTGTTTTGTTGTTTTTTCACTCGTTTATGTTCAGGGAGAAATCACAGTCTCATCTTCCCGCTACCACCAAATGTGAGTGATTGTATATCCGCTTTCCCCAGCAGGCTGAAAAAGTTAAATAATGGATTATTGTTTCCCTTTGTGTGATCAGAGCAGCCCGTTGTGAGAAAAGCTGCAATAAAAGTTATTTTTAAACTGGAGTGATCCCCTTATTTCCAGACTGAAAAGTTGACCTGTATTCTGAGCTGTGTTCTTTTTTTTTTTTTTTTCACTTGCTGTTGAATTCTGTGGTCGAGCTCATGTGTCCTGAGGCGTTCAAATCTGTGATTACTGCTCGGCAGATTGGTGACTGGACCTTAAAATTGAGGTGAGGTGGTGCTAAAGGCATAACCTCATCTAAAAGCACTTATTGTAAAAGAGAGCAGACTGAATTGTGTAAAAGGCAACTGATTACTATAAGAGTATATTTTAATGTGTGTATGGAATTACAATCTATATAAGAAGATCCAACTAAAACATTAAATGAAGCTTGGCCTACTTTTCCTATCTGGAGGTTAAAATGTTCAAGCATGAAGAAACATTGTTTTTTCCTATAACTGAGGCTCGTGGTTCTTAGTAATGTGTTCATGTTTCATATTCTCACACATTTCTTATCTTATTTGACACCATGGGCTCCGGAGCGAAGTGTGCAACAGCCTCTCAAGTGTGAGGCAAACACGTGCAGCCACAACGTCCCATCGCTTCCTTTGACATTAATTTTACATGAGTAAATGGCCGGACTGCCTCCCCCTCTGTGTGGAGGAATAAACACGAGCTTTCACATTTCTATGTGAATATGACCGGCGATCTGGGGAGGAAGTAATTAGACCAGAAACTTTGGACAGCTCTGTTTTATGTCCTTTAATTAATAGTGAATGCATCAACAATCTTCTTAGCTTGATTCATTTTCTTGAGTTTGTCTACAATCTGCAGTTTCATTAAAAATATCCTGCGATTAAATTATGTTCCTAAAGAAATTGAATGATGATTTTGAACATTTATTTAAATGATTCTTAGTTCTAAATTATGAAATATATCTTAAAGATCTGTAAATATATTCATGGTATATATATATATATAAACTGGTAGTATAAACATAATATGAAAAACTAAATTATCCCCCAATGTTGAATTTTTCAGGGTCACTTAAAATAGCTGTTAAGGTTTTCATCAGATACCCAACATGTAAACATTATTTAATTTAGTGTTGTAATAGTTATTGTAATCCAGTAATATTTCACATTGACAGTTTTGACAAGTTTGTGGATTTGGGTTAATAATCACTCGTTAATAATCAATCAGTTGTTTACTCAGCATGTTTGATCAATTATAAAACACCTAACAATATAGAATTATATATATATATATATATACATAGAGAGAAACTTAACTATGGCATTTTAAAGTGTGATTCATGGTTTCTTTATTCATTTCATTTTCTCCTTTTAAATTTTACATCTATGATAGAAAACCCACATTTTCCTGCTGATCTGATGCTGTCATGACGAGCGATGTGAGGCCACTCTGCCATGAAAATGCTACTGTCTCTTTAAATGTTCTTGCAGTAATTCCTTCAGCATGCATATGGCCATAAAAAAGAGATAAAGCTTGAAGTCATCCACACTAACACAGTCAGGAAAAAAAAACTTCCCCAGGATTTTAAATTATATAGCAGCAGCATCCTGTATTTTACACCTGCAGAGAGGGAGGCAGCCTCAGCTGAGTGGAGAGGACAGTCTCACTGGAGGAGCAAACAAGTTCCCTGCATCGCAGCTTTTTCCTTTTCAGTTATTTTTCTCTCCTTTGGTCTCATCATTCCGTTTTTCCTTCTTAGAAAGAATGCTATTGCACATGTTGTGTATGGTGTGGTCTTCATCTGTCATTTTTCTACACGGCAGGTAAGACACCAAGGTTGGATATACTATACTAATGTTACTTTAAGTTAATTATAGGAGAGTTCTGCTGTTTTCTTAATAATTATAATGTATACACTGCATGTTTTTTTATTAGAACTTGACACTGAATGTAACTGTTGAGGGGATTAGTGGTACTCCTTTGACTTAGAGGCATGACAACATCATAGTTGTATTTAAAAGAGAAGTATCGTACGTTTTTCTATTTTTGAGTAAAAATATCTTAAAACAGCCTGATCCGAGCACTGTTTACTACAAATCACATACTGTACAATTAGTAAAAATGCATGTACACTTTCTGCAGCTATATTTATAGATATTGTATATGCGTAGCACAAATAAATGATGGATAGAATAGATCACTGGAGATATTAAATATTAAGTAAAATTATGTGAGCACATGAAGAGTTTGTTGTGCCGTCATCTGGCAGGACTGTGCTCTGTAAGGAGATGAAGTTCCCCAGCAGAGCAGCCAAGCCCCCCTCTCCATCTGACTTTCTGGACAAACTGATGGGACGCACATCTGGCTACGACGCCCGCATCAGACCCAACTTCAAAGGTAACGCACTGTGTGGCGTGCGGTTGGAGGACCTCCTCTACCGGGACAGGTGTGAGAAAGTACGCTGCTCAATTTGCATAACATTCTGGGCGGCGAGGCAGCACAAATCATTCACAGATGGGTCAGAAGTGAGAGATGCTGCAGGCTGCGATGTTTTCCCACAGGAGCCTTTGTTTTGTCATGTGTTGTTGCTGTTTTTATACTGACCCACAGCCTTAGGTTACGATATTTTTACACTGACTTCTCCTTCAGATCTTTTTGTCAGAAATGTGCAGTTACCCTTGTATATTACCCCACAGGCCTATTTCAGTCCAATCTGGAGCTTTCGTGGTGAGTAAAACTGGCAGATTATCTACTGACATACTTCCCCCTCAGCCTCTGGGGTTGTATTGCATACATATTTCATACTTGCTCCACATCCTTGTCAGTGCATGCCTGGTAGGTCCCAACTGATTAGCTATAAATACACTAATGTAACTAAAGGAGAATCAATAAATTATTGCCTGTTAGGAAATGAGCCACTGAAATATGTAACGTTTCAGTGGTGTACAGAGGGACCACACTAATGAGAGCCTAGTGGAAATGACAATACTATCTGATGATCAGGACACAGTACAGTGTGACACTTTATGAAGAAGCAGCGTTCTGCTCTGTACTTCATACTTGGAGTGGCTGTGGGTCAGGGTCGTCCACTAACCTTTGATCCCCAGCTCCTACTGTGCAGTCCGTATGCCAAAGTGTCCTGGAGCAAGACATTGAACCTAAAAACTGCCCCTGACTGTGTGTGAATGTGACTTGTACTGTACAGCACTTTATTGCTTTACAGCAAAGACTGGAAAGGACCTAAAAAATATTATGTAAGTGTATTATAGTATTTAAGAAACTAATGTAACTAGGATGCGTGTTGACAATCTGTTCTCTGTCAGGTCCTCCTGTCAACGTCACCTGTAACCTCTTCATCAACAGCTTTGGATCCATCACCGAAACAACAATGGTGAGAATTTTATCTACAATCCACAGTGGTCACATCAATGCTTTACCAAAGAAAAAGTACTAGCATTAATAAAGCATAAACACTAAAATATATTTAAAGGATCAAGAGTAAAAGTACTCGCAGAATGGTCCATCGGCAGCTGTTTAATAATGTATCATTATTTATTTGTTGGACATGAATCTTGATTTAAAACTACAAAATAAAATCAGGCACATTTAGGGAACTGATATCAATAATTGTATAATTTTAATTTCAGGAGACTGTTGCCTTGGCGGATATAAATCCCTCTGTCATATTGTGTATAAAATAGCAAAATGTGGAATTATTCAAGTACAAATATCCCAAAACTATACTTAAGAAATGTAGTTGAGTAAATGTACTTGGTGACTTCCCTGTATTGCATATCCAGCATTTGAATATCCACGACTGAGGAAGATATATTTTGGTTGATAAAAATCATTTCTCAGATGCAGAAGAGTCTGGTGTTTATTTCTTTTGAAGAATCTCTGGGTCTTGTCCCTCTGTTGGTTAAACCACGTTTCATGATTCCTAAAACATACGCTCATCAGGCTATGACTAATTAGTGACTGTAAACACCATCTTGTAAGTACACTGCATACTGTCCACTATGATTTCCTCATATCTCTGTCAAATCAGAGGCCATCCTTTATTTATGAGGCCAAAGGACGGAGTTTGGGGACTGTCTTGGTTTTTTTGTGTGTTTTTTTTTATTGAAGTCAGCGTTAGGAAGAGTCATGCATTTTTGAAAACATCTCCTGGGAGGGCCATCAAATTTTAATTGATGGAATTGTAAGTGGAGTTTGCTGTCATTCTGGTCTGTTTGTCAGCATTTATGTTGCTTTTTTCCCTCCCCCTCCTCCGCCCTGTTAGAGTTTGCATGGGCTCGGTGGCCCTCACCTGCTAAGTGATGCTACAGATTTATTTATTGTCAACTCAATCTCAGCCCTCTCACAATCTTTATTTAAATGAAAACATAATTTGATCCAAAACAGTCAAATTTTAGTGAATTTGCTTCTATTATTGTACAGTGGTTCTCTGTTGAAGCTTCCAAACTACCTCACCTCTCTTCTTTCATTTAAAAAACTACAGAACACTGTCCAGTAATTATATAACCCAAGATATCCCTCATGTGCTCAAAAACAATGGCAGATTACGGTTTCAGGTATTACACATTGCTCAAATAGAATGAGCAACAATATACCCTCAAATAGATTCCTCTTTTTTTTTTTTCAAGCCTCTTTACCTGATCTCCAAACAAATCATTCTAATTCCATCAATTCCTTGTTTGTGGTACTGTTTTTGTTGCAGTGCATGTTTATTTGTTGAGAAATTAGATCTTACTCTTAACAAGACAGCCTGATTAAATAAAGATTATATAAATAAAATGTGGCACAATTACCACTTATGGCTATATATTTTGTTTCAGGGCTTAATAAGTACAAGTAGTGTAATTTCTAATTATGATTTAACTCCACAGGACTACCGCCTCAATGTATTTCTGAGGCAACAGTGGAACGACCCTCGACTGGCGTATAAGGAATATCCGGATGACTCTCTGGACCTGGACCCGTCAATGTTGGACTCCATTTGGAAACCTGACCTGTTCTTCGCAAACGAAAAGGGAGCGAACTTCCACGAGGTCACAACAGACAACAAACTGCTTCGGATATTCCAGAATGGAAATGTCCTCTACAGCATCAGGTTATCTTAATTTTAAATTGGTAATCCAACTGATTGATGCACCATGATCTCTTTTGTAACTCCTCCAGATCTGCGGTTTGTTATGTTGCCAAATGAATATAAACTTCTACCACTGCAAGTATCCAACAGCATGTTTGTTTCACTCCAGTTCAGTTCATTTATAATTGTACTGTCCAGCCCACACTGTGAATAAGCTCATGTAAAACAGTATCCGCAGGCTCAGGTCAGTGAAGTGGCACTAAAGCGGTGGTGAATTGTAGCATAATGATAAGGAGTTAGAAGTAGAATATACTGTAAGTGAGAGGAAGCAGTGTTTAGAGCTCTGTTTGCAATTCTGTTTAAGATGAAATCAAATGTCCTGGATGAACCTTTAACCTTTCAAACAACAACCATCCAGTAACATAACGCTATACTCTGTTAAAAAATTGGCTTCACTTACCACCATAGTATCTCTGAATGACACTGATGCAGCAGTCACGTCTTCCTCCTCTCTTCAATATCACTCATCTTCACCTCATCCTTCCTGGATAAAAGAGAAGAATGGTGCTTGAAATGAGCAGTGAGAGACAGTGAAAGCTGTGTCAGCAAAATAAAGACTTATTTATCAGGGAAAGCAACATCTCCATTGAGGGATGGGATGTTCTTCTTTGATCTAGATCCCTATGTCCCTGGTGTTACATCAGACCTTTCAAAGGGTGGACATTGTCTGTCAGCACCTGCCAGTCCTCTGTGGTTTGTCTGAGGCTGCAGTGGAATAGACGGATGAAGGATAGAGCTGCTTGATGTGAACCCTTAATGTGGGGTGAGAGTGCAAAAGGGGTTTGAGTGACACCTGAGGGGTATAGGGGGTGTTGCTTGGCAGGATATCCCAAAATCTTTTTGTTCCATCAAGGATTTTATTTCCTCTTTTGGATAATTTTAGATAAGGGGCCATGAAGGGGTCACAATTTACATAGTGGGGCCAGTTACACATTCAATATCCATGCACAATTCCTAATTCAGTAAGGGTCACATTTAAGTCACTCCTTTCTACTGTTAACTTATCATCGAATTTCTTTTTTTAATTGTCACTAGTTCAAGCACATTGCATATTTAAAAAAAAAAGCTAGTTTGTATAAATATATATAGAAAAAGGAATAATGACAGGACAGGGGAACTTCAGGGGTCAATCAGATTTCAGCTGGGGCCAGTGCCCCCTTGGCCCCGCCCCTGCATTCCTGGACTAAGATGAAGTTACTGTCTCTGTTTTCAGGCTGACGCTGACTCTTTCCTGTCCCATGGATCTGAAAAACTTCCCCATGGACAGCCAGATGTGTATCATGCAGCTGGAAAGCTGTGAGTCTTTCTTTCATGGCAGGGCTGGTGTTACACAAACATTTTATCTTAACTTATTAAGTATCGTATGCCGTCTCTTTGCCTCTTCTAGTCGGCTACACCATGAACGATCTTATTTTTGAATGGTTGGATGTGGGGGCGGTGCAGGTGGCTGATGACCTGACACTGCCTCAGTTTGTGCTGAACGAGGAGAAAGGCCTTGGCTACTGCACCAAGCATTACAACACAGGTACATGACATTTGACAACCTGTCGTTCAGCATCCTTGATAGATGCTGCCCATCGACTTCTAATGAGACTGTCAGATTGCACCTGTATCTCCTCCTGTTGTAGGTAAATTCACCTGCATTGAGGTCAAATTCTACCTGGAGCGTCAGATGGGCTACTACCTGATTCAGATGTACATACCGAGTCTGCTCACCGTCATCCTGTCCTGGGTGTCCTTCTGGATCAACATGGATGCGGCTCCGGCCCGGGTGGGACTGGGCATCACAACGGTGCTCACCATGACGACACAGAGCTCTGGCTCCAGGGCCTCCCTGCCAAAGGTCAGAGAGTTTGGTTTGTTAAACATCACTGTTGTAAAATACAAATAAATAATTTTTGAGTTTAAGTTTACTCAACTTATACTATTGTACTACTATTATTGTTTAACATCAGTGAAGACAGATAAAGTAATTCTATACATAGTCTCTCATGTCACTGCTTCTGATTTGCCTTTCACTGATTTACAGGTGTCCTATGTAAAAGCCATAGACATCTGGATGGCGGTTTGTCTTCTTTTTGTGTTTGCTGCACTACTGGAGTACGCAGCCGTTAATTTTGTTTCACGCCAGCACAAGGAGTTCTTCAGACAGAGGAAGAAGCTCAAAGAGCAGCAGCGGCAGAGAACTGTGAGTGCAAGCCACCCACCCACCCACTCAGCCCCTCGGGCAGCTGTCACCTGCTATTCCCTGCGCCCAGCTCTGCACGAGTTGCACAACTCTGCTGCATGTTGCGCTACTGCTGGGAAACGCAGACAGCATTGACCTGTTATTAATTCCGTTTTCCTGAATACTCTCAACATCTTGCTGCCTCACTCTGGACTTCATTGGAATAGGAAAAAAAAGGGAGGAGGAGACAAAACAGGCTTAGCCACCTTTAAAAACAAAATAATTCTTAAATGCAGCAGTGTGAAGACAGCTGCAGGATTCATTAATGCCTTCTAATATTTACACCACAATACAGGAGCCGTCTGCTGGAATCCTGTTTACTTAATCATTTAAGGGATTATGCAAAGCCGCTGAAATTTGCTCTGACAACATCTTCAAGCTGTCTCATTTCACATTAATGTAAGGCTTGTATTCACTTTGCAAGAAGCAGCTGATGATTACTTGTTAATGTACAAGATTTGAAACATGAATGTGACTCAGCGTGCTCTCATTATTGCAAACTGTTCGATCTGTGAAATCTGTTTGATTATTATATTCACGTCTTATTTCTTCCTCATCAGCAGGGAAGTGGTGACAGTAAAGCGAAGGGAAACAACACGTCAGGAAACAGTGCTCCTCATGGGAACGTGGCCCAGCAGTGCAGCGTCTGTTCCCGGGTATGTTCCGTTGCCTTGTTCAATTAAGACAGCAGCTTAGAAAGAAAGCGATTCTCAATAAGAGCAGAGGCTTATTCTGTGCCGTTTCTTTTTCTTCCAGGAGGAGGAGCTGGCACAGCAGGGTCTACTCTTCCAGAGTTTCGGCCTTGCACTGTCAGCAGGAACTGCACCGGAAATGGACGCCACGCCGGTGTTTGCTGATCTCCCTCCTGGTTTAGGTTTCTATGAAATACGCAGGCGCTTTGTGGATCGAGCGAAAAGGATTGACACCATCTCCCGAGCCGTTTTCCCCATGAGCTTCCTCATGTTTAACGTTCTGTACTGGCTCACCTACAAAGTCCTAAGACATGAAGACCTTCAGGCCACACAGTGACAACAGAACACCTGAGGACCAATAGAGCGACAGGATGCATCTAATCCTGGTCACTTCACTGAAACATTTACAGGCTAAGGGTCCTCGGCTGAGCCATGTGAGACGACACAGTGACTGCATGTCCAGTGTCACTGGCAAATTCAGTCACATGGAGGAGTTAATCAGTTTCTTTAAATTTGTAATACTTCAAAGAAATGCACTTTTTATTGGCACTGATGCATCACACATTACACATCATTGTCAAGTCTGTATCTTAACTGTATCATCCCACACTTTTTTGGAAACATCTGTGTCTTCACGTGTATTCGTACTGCAGTACATCCTTGCCAATCTTCTTTTTTTTGTGCACTGATTTCACTGTTGCCATGGTTGACAGCTCTTTGATAGGACCACAGGGTTTGTATCAAAGGGCAAACAAAAAATATGTCCCTTGTATCCAAATATTTCATTTCTTTAAAAAACTACAGACTTCTAGATTTAAAAGTATTTTTATAACGTGACTATTTTATCTAAAATAATATTCATCAGCTAAATTACATTTCAAATTCTATACTAAAACTGTGATAAACTTAATCACTGTATACTCATATTATATATGTTTACCAACATAGCTAAATATAGTATGAATTTTACTTATATCTAATAAAGTCTTCAGTCTCAAATCTGCATATTAGCCTATATTTTATTATTAATATTCAACAGTAACAACTTGATGGAATTAAAAATATACAACATTTCCTATATGGTTTTATTAAATGATTAATTCCACAGAATAGTTTCATTTAACATCAAAATCAGTGGAAATCTTAATATTAAAAATATAATTTCAACAATGAGGTTTAATTCCTCAGAAATGACACTACTTGGTAGTGGAAATGGCTTATTAGGATGCCTGAGAGCATTTATAACATAATTCTTATCTTGAACCAAATTCTTTGCAGAGCTCTTGAATTGTGGTTTGACCATTGCTATGTTTCGTGTCAGGTTTTTATTGTGGGTTTATTTTCATTCTAACTTTGCTATGTAAGCATTTGGTTTTTGCCAGAATCTATATCTAAGAATTAAACTGTGAGCTATGAAGCCAGAAGCATCTAACCAGCACTGAACTATATTTGTCTTCCTCTCGTACTTTTCTCAGTCAAGGTTATTCTTAAGTCTCACTCTACTTTCAGGTGGTAAATGTACAGAATGCCTCTGCAATAACATTCTCTTGATTTGCTTCCATGACTGAAACTCAGTACCCTTTATACTGCATATTGCAAGATAAGCTTTTCTGTGTGCACATGCCTGGAGACCAGGTCCATCTCAAAGAGGCCTATATGTCTTGTTTTAAAAATAAATCTTGTCATAAATTGAAGCTGTCATATTAATATTTCATTGAAATGGTAGCTGTCATGTATGCATATAGGAGGAGCAGGACTCCATTTATCAGCAGAGTCTGAGCTGGGCTCTTTTTCTAAATAACAGTAAAGGGATGGGGGTTGTTGTTTGTTCTTTTCAACCATAGGAACTGTCAGATTTCTATCACTGTTGAAGTGAGTACATATACACATCATAATTTGTTTCTTGAAAAATAGAAAACTAAACGATATCTTAATCATTTGTTCAGATACATTAAGGTTTTCTTCTGAAATCACACAACTTCAGTAAGCTCACATCAGAGACCGAGAGATAAACTCAATAACTTCAGACAAGTTAGTTAAATCTATACAAGACATTTGTTTTGAATCGAAAATCAACAGTCAAAAGATTGGGTATCTAGCCACAGGAGGGCGCTGCTGGTTCTATTATGTCCCATGTGATCAAGGTTGAACTACAGTATGTCACATTTACACATGTAGTCCACATCTTCTTACTCAGTCTGAGGTGAAGATCTCATGTTTTGGGGGGTTGACTGTTACATGTGGAATTACTGAACTGAAGTTTCATTTAGTATTAAGATTCATGGTGTGTGGTATTAACTGGCAGAAACTGCACCCTTTTCCTACAAATTATCAGTTACTTGCACAAGACTAATGTGTTCAATGCCTAAAACAATAATGACTGCTCTTCTTACATCTTTTTAAATGGCTTTGCAAACATCAGCCTCTCACATAAAGTGGATTAGTTGCTCTGGTCTAACCCCAAACCTCTTAGCGTTTACTCTTTGTTTGACTTGTCAGTCACATGCAATTAAGTCAGATCCACATGAGATAAATGATGAGGTGATGACAGGTAGATTTCACCATCAACACTTACTGAGGATGAAAGCTAAAATCTTTTAATTAATGCACATTAGATAAACTAATCTCAATACATGCTCTACTTACGTCTTGTGATGATTTTTATTGATGCAGACAGAGGGGCTATTTTCACATGTGTAAGGTGGAATGAGTGATAAGACATATAATTGGGCAATCATAACATAGGGAAATAAATGTTCATGTTTAAGTATGCAAAGTAATTGCATTAGGGATATAGCACACTACTTATCTTCCTGATTGTAGTATTCATTTTTGTGCATTTTGCACAAATTGCATTGCTTTATATTATCCTTCGATATGTGATAACAAATCTTTAAATGAATGCACATTAGATAAATGTATCTCAGTCATGCTCTATTTATGTTGTTTGATTATTTGTATTGATGCAGACAGTAGATCAAACGCTATTTTTATATGTGTTATATATGTATAATTACATATAATCGAGCAAGATACATAACACATACAATACATCACATAACAGGATTATAAATATGAAAGTTTAAGCTAAAATGTTACTCATGCAGCACTTTACTTGTTTGTTGGCACATCCTTCCTGATTATATTATTCATTTTTACTCTTGTTGGCAAAATGCAAAAGGAGCATAGCTTTTTATTGTCATTCAAGATCGATAGGTCATGTTTGAGAACAGCGATAAGAGTTGATTTTCCATTTAGGGAGCAGGGCTGGTCTCCCCGGGACCCTCCATCAAAGTGTGTCCACCGGCTGGAGACGTGGCAGAGCCTCCGGTCATATGATTGTAGTTCATTCTCGAACCCCACCCCGGTGCTGCCCACCATGAAAACACTTGTATAATGTCGTGATTTCACCGCGATCAAACATGTGCCAGCGGCTCAAAGTGCTGCTTCACGTTCCCCGCGCGTCTCAGCACAAACACCGCTCCTGGATTTAGTGGCGGCGACGACCACCCCAAACAGAGCCATTTTTAGACGTTTACTGCTGACGTTTACACGGGCTTCAAATAGCTTCCGTTTTACACTGGTAGTGATTGGACTGCTCTCTACTTACCCACTGAGCTAATGCACTGAGCTGAGCGAGTCTCCACACTTCAATGGAGGATCAGCCCAGAGATCGGGCACAAGACAGACACTACCAGCACCGAGGGGAGGACAGACACTCGACCCATCGCACAGCCGCTCTGAAAAATGATCAGAGCCACTTCCAGCGCCAGCATCAGGAAACGCAGACGAAGAAAACAGGTCGGGCCATCCGGGGGGGGAAAAAGTTAGCTAACGCTTGCTAGCCTCTGTCGGCTAATGTCAACGAGAAGACTAGCATTTTTTGCTAACTTATGTGGGCACCCATCATTACTGAAGGCTTAGCTCTCTTGCTAGCTTTTAATTCAAACTACAGACTGTTGGCTGGAGTAACTGAGGCAACATTATAAGTGTGGAGTAGCTGGCTGGTTAGCCTGGTAGTTAGCCGCTGTCGGAGCAGAAACCAGCCGTCAGGTTAGACACTCGGCTGACGTTGCGTGACAGTTGTCGCTGGTGGTGGTTTGACATATCGGGGATTGACCTTGTGCGCCGGTTTTCACCATCCATCTTTCTTTTAGCTAACGCGGCTACATCACTCCATAAACCCCACTGAGTCACCGTGTGGTGTGAACACATTACCTGCCGTTCACACACGGGGAATTGTCTCCTGCAGTAGCCGAAGACTTGTTCATCTCAGCCCGTGTCCACTTTAGGAAGACGAGCCGGCTCCACTGGAATGTTCTGAGCTTCCATTTCCTGTCGGCCATGTTAGAATATCCCTGCTAGCTCATGCTACCATCACCCGGCTAGTGAGGCTCTTTTATATGTCAACGCACAAAGCTGTGTGCCATTAGCATGTGGTGGTGGTGTGTTCACGTACTTATGTTTGCTGGTGTCGGACGGTTAGCTTCTGTCATGAGCAGCTAATGTAGCCAGGGCGTGTTAATGTCAGACGAGCCGATGCTAAGTTGACGTTAGCTAACGTTAGCCTCCTCTGACAGGCCTGTTGCATGTTGACCAGTCTACGTGCAGCCACGCAGCAGCTTGACCATGAGAACAAAGCTCAGATTTGACTGCAGCAGAAAACAATCTATAACGCGATTATAATATGTGCTAACACATTAGCACGTCTACAAATGAGAAGCTGCCGCTTTATGCAAAGTGAGGCTGTCTTTAGAAGCTTGTTTGTGCCGCTGTAGACCACAGACGAGGGAAATCCCACGTTGACACAGCAGTTCCATGCCTGTGTGTCACTGCACAAACCTATTTATGGTTCACTGCCAGACCGACATGTATTTATAAGTGCTGCTGTGAGGATCTACATCCCGCAACTACTGTTCTTTGTTTCATTTCACTATTCTCAAGAAAGCTAATCAGCCAACAGTGTGCAGAACAGCAATAAAACATCCCATCTCCTTTACTCTTTCAACACAACCAGCACCAAGCTCATCTCTGGATGAGTCAGGAGCAGAGTCAGTATATAATTAATATACAATCTATGGTTTGGATTTAGATTTTCATACTGCAAGCATAATCTGGTCAACTATTAGGACAAAGGTACGGTGGCAGAGAGAGAGCTCAACGCACTGCAATTTAAGAAAACCTGCAAATTAGGAAAACACATGCAAATTAAGAGAATAACTTGATCGATATGACTATACATGCGCTTGATATTATCTTAACCTTTTTTTAAGTTTAACTTTAAGGTACCATCATTATTGCATAATAAATTATTTTCTGAATATTGGGTGGAGTGCCCCAAAGTCGTATAAAACCAATCCTTAAATTTTATGTGAAAAAAGGTATTGCTACATCTCCATCAGTTGGGGCAGCCTCTGCAAGGTAGTTTAACCAAGAAGTTGCAGTGTTCTATCATCCATCATTTCAGTATAAACTGATTTTGTTTCCCTTTTCAGGCAATAAAAAAGTAAACATCAGTGACGTGGAGGGGGAGAAGAATACACATCTGTCTGATACTGTTGGTATGTCACATCCCCCCAACAGCAATGGTAACAGATACATCAGTAGTGCAAATGTGAAGCAGAAGTCGATGCAGAAGCTGTACACAACTGTTCCAAAAGTGAGCAGCAAAGGGTTGGACCATAAGAAGAATATGGACCTTAAAAATGACAAGGCCTTGGATTTGAATCATCACGAGGGCCAACCTTTGGATAAGAAAGACTCTTTGTTGCTTCAGAATGGCGTTGTAAACTGTGGCTTAATTACAAATGGCTATTCGAGCAAAGACAATGATGGAAGCGGTTCAGAAGGTGGATATACTACTCCGAAGAAACGCAAGGCCAGATGTAACAATACCAAGAACACTGATAATGTGATTAAAGACAAGGAGAAAGACATGCAGCAGGGCGACACTACGCAGGAGTCTGGGGAATTTGATTTCGAGACAACTGAGAAGGGAGTGACTTCTAGACTTGATAGCTTTAGAGCCACCCATAAAGTAGAAGCTCAGTCAGCAGCGAGACGCGCAGCTGTGCCAGAGGCTTCGGTGGGTGAATCTCAGAGGAAAAGCTCTGATGGCAAAACAGCCGGCACCTTTGGTAAAAAAAGCGAGGAAAGGCACAAGGCCAAGCTTCCCTCCCCTTCAAAAGAGGACTCCTGGACTTTATTCAAGCCCCCTCCAGTATTTCCTGTGGACAATAGCAGTGCTAAAATTGTTCCCAAGATCAGTTATGCAAGTAAAGTAAAAGAGAACCTCAACAAAGTAGCTCAAGGTGGAGGAGAGGCACTGCCTCCTCCCATTAGACTGTCACAGGTCCCTATGTCTGCTATGAAAACTATCACCTCATCTAGCTTTACTAATGGTCCTGTTTCTGGAAATGGAAACGGCTGCCCATCAGTGGGTACCTTCTTTGCTCCTGCTGCTAGTAGTATTCCACCAGCCCCATCTATCCCAAGTGGCGAGAATGTAGCATCTCCTTTAGAAAGTAACTGTAGCTCTACAACCAGTCCTGTAGATGGAGAAGCATATGATCTTAGAAAGTGTACTCTTTTAATTTACCCTTTAAATATGCAACCTGTGCTCCCTAGTGCTCGTCACCTTGACCCACCGGCTGCTCAGACAAATCAGAAAGCCTTGGGAGAAATCTTCCAGAATCAGTGGGGGCTTTCCTTCATCAATGAGCCCAACTTGGGGCCAGACGGAGGAAGTGGGCAGGTGTCTGCAGAGGACAAGACAACTGTGGTCACACCTCAAATCGAGCGTCAGGCCAGTTCAGCCAAGGTTGCCCAGCCCTGCTTTGACATTACCCCATCCTTCTTAGAGCCCGGCACTTTGGCTCAAGACCCCGAGAAAAGGACTTGTGCCCCTTGCAATGTGTCTAATGCTTGTTTTCCTGCTTGTGTGACGAGCGACGAGGAGAATAAGTTGCAGCCATGTGGCCAGGAAAAGACAAAACCCGAGGCCAAGGGTGCAGGTTCTGCTGTGCCAGCCCCCGGTAAAGACAATGGTGCTAAGCCTGCACAGGGCCAGCTAACCACTTTGCTGTTTGGCTCCTCTAAAGAACAGGCCCACTCTAAAGACATTGGCAGAAGGTCTTGCTGGGGGCCCTTTGACATTAAAGCTGCTGTCACTTATCACACTAAAGGTAACTTTTCTACTCTATTCATCAAATTCATTTATCTTAGCACTAAAAGTTGTAATCCTTATTCATGAGATGGTTATTGGGGCAAGTGTAGTTTAGTACGACAACAAACATGACCTGAGTAGCTTTTTTATCAGGAATAAAACAGAAGAGCAGATAGTTTACTTTTTACTGTAAAGCAAAACAAACTTGCATCGTTGTAGTAAATAAGTCGGTCAATAATTGCTGATAAGGCACACATGGTTTTTAATGGAAGCAGAGAAGTGTAACAGGAGCTGGTTACTGTCTCCAGCTCTCTGTGGCTGTTCCCACTTGTTTCTTCATTACCCAACATAAATTAAAAAGGATCCATCCACAGAAAAAGATACCTGAAGACGACACTATATATTGTTTAACTATATATTCACAGACAATCAAGATTATTGGAGCTAACCTTGTTTCGAATGTTATTATCACGTCTTATGAGTAATTGAAAGAGAACTGCAAAGAATGAGGTTGATATTGATGAGATAAGATGAGATTTGAAGGAAGTCTATCTCAGCTCATAAATGGTGGCCACTAAACATTTACAATGGAAACTAAGATATCAAGGGTTAATTACAGAATTTAAATACATTGAGTGGTTACTGCCTAAAAAATGCAGCAGTATCAAAAACAGTTACTTAAATTCTCAAGGAATATAACTTTAACCACTGTGCTGTGACAGGGGATTTGATATACATACAATGAACAAAAGATTAAATCAAGAAATGTAAATAAATCTGGCTTCACAAGATACAAGATCAGTAGTAGACAATCTGAAAATATTGTTTATGACCAGATGATGCAGATGCTGAAATAATCTTTCTTTTACCTCAACAGAAATGGAATCCATTTTCAACTTGCAAAAACAAGGTAATTTAAACCTGTTGTTCTGACCTTTTCATGAATGTTTAGCACTTAGTTTTAGTTTTGTTGAAGTTATTTAGAAATATAAGAACATTAAAAAGTTTGACATGTCTATAGAGAGCAGATGGCTGTAGATCACTAAATTAACATAACAGTAAATCCCTGAAAGACCAAAGGACACAATTGTTTTATTACTCAACAAAGAACCCAAGGTAAACACACAGCTGTAGTTACTGAGTGTGACACACGGCTGTTGGATGATCCTGCAAACTGTGTTGATGGCTGGAAATAAATGATATTGGAGGCTTTGTTTGCCAATTGTACACAAACTAGAATTAATTGAGTTTTGTTTATGTTTAACATTTGACACTAATGTCTGTGATTTTTAAAGTAGTACATTTTGTACATGTTAGTAATACCGGGAACATACACAGTGTATGATATGACCTAACGTTTTCCTTTCTATCTTTCCCCTCTTAGATCCAAAAAGAGTAGTGGTTTATGATGAAACCAAGGATGGACCTGATCAGTGAGGTAGAACTTCTCTTCTGGGTGCTGCAGTTATCTACCTTGGAAATCATAAATCCTCTTGGATAGATAAAGTGACAACTGTGAAAACATTGATCGTTTAGCATGACACATTTTCCTTGGAATCTCGGGCTGAAAAACAGACTCTTTCTTTTGTGGGCATCAGACAGACACAGACACAGACACACACTCTGGAGGGACGTTAAAGGAGCTGATCGGTGCCTCCAACATGATGAATGGACACTTGCATCTTAAAGCTGTTTGTCTCATGGCTCTTTAAGGATGATGTTCAGGAGTCAACAAAGGAAGGCGTCCAGGACGGCGCCTCCCAAAGCCTTTATCCTGTCGAACTGCGGCAGCCGCCAGTCTGACTGTGGGATGCCTCAGTCATTTTTTTCTTTCTTCACGCGTTCAAATGAGTTAATTGTAGATATGTTAGACGTTATACATACACATCTGTGTGCAAGCTTGAATTCATTGTGAACGAAAAGGAAAACACACTTTGCAAAGAATGCCTTGAAGTTGTGGAGTAAGGATCTTGGGAGTCCTGTTAAACTTTAAGTTCAGTGACAGCTCGTAGGTGAGGCCCCATCCAGGAAGGGAGAACCTTGTCTTGAAATCTTTACGGGGAAATTAAGAGCCCAGAAAATAAACGCTTGCTTTTTTTCTTTTATGCTGTTTGGTCTGACATGAGTGTTATCTGCACTGCAGTATGACCCCTGAGCACAGGTACAAATAGTGCCCAAGTTGAAGTAAAAGTCTAGCCCCTTCATTTCACTGTTTATTACAGGTTTTACTAAAGATTAAAATAAAGGCAGGTCTCCGTCAAAG